CTTCATCACCAAGGGATCACCCCCCCCTCTGGCAAGACCCTCGGATTATAGCATGAGGGATCTAATTGGTACCTAGGGATCCAGTTTGAATGAAGAAGGGAGACCGATTGGCCATTCCCAACCTGCCATCGTAAACCCATCTCCAATAAATGACGCCCATGAAGGATACTCTGTCATCCCCAAGAGCGACGAGACCTAGCCGCGACAGTCAAGAAAGACCCTTGAGGGAAATACTTGCCTTTGTAAACCTGGGCAATAAGTGATTGAGGCTCATTAAGAATACGCCAGCCTATCTTAGCCAAAAGAGCTCGGTTGAAGTGTTCAAACTGGCGAAATCTCATCCACCTTCATGCTTACTCCTGCACATGTTTCACCAGGACACACATCTAATCTTGGGATGACCCTCCTCCGCACCCCACCAAAAGCGGGCCACATGTCTATCCAACAAACGACAAAGAGCTAGGGGGAGACTGAAACAGGACATAACATGAAGAGGAAGAGCCAACGCTATGGATTTAATCAAAGTTTCCTTAGCAGACCATGACAACGTCCATTGCTTCCACCCCTGAAGACGCTATATGAGTTTTTCCTCCAAATATCTGAATGTCTCCATCTTTGAGCGAGCAATCAGCGTGGGAAGTCCCAGATATTTATCGTGGACCCCCATAGCACCAACCCCCAGAATCGCGGCCAAGAACTCCTGATCAGCCGTGGAGATATTCTTGTAAAGCACATGGCCGATTTCTCCAAATTAACGCGTTGACCACTCAAATCCTAATATTCATTCAACACCTCAATTAAATTCTCGCACTCCTGAAGAGAACCTTGCAAGAACAAGTAAGAATCATCCGCGAAGAACAGGTGTGAAACTCTTGGAGCACGAGGAGCTACTTTCACCCCCTCTAATTTTTTTCTCCGTAATCGCCTTACGAAGGAGGGCTGCAAACCCCTCCGTGTAGAGCACAAACAAGAGCGGAGAGAGCGGATCCCCCTGGCGAATGCCCCTAGATGCACACTATGTTTGGGAAGGGGTGTAAATGGAAGGGGTTGCAAGTTTGGGGGGTAAACACAAGTTCCAAGGTGTTTACCCCCCGTTTGGTTATTTTGTAACAGTAGGGGGGTGCAAAACGTGAGCGTAAATTCACTGTTTCGGCTTACCCCCAAATTGGGGTGCAAGGGAAGGAAGGGAGGGAGGGGGAAGGGGGAGGAGGGGAATTATGAATATTTAATTAGATTATAATTACATAATAATTAATATTATTCATTTTTTCTTATATCTATATTAGTGTAGAAGTTGTTTGGGGTTGACCGTTTGACTCAGAGAGCAAGTTTGTCAATGTTCGCCTAGTCAAATCGATATCTCTTAGTTGACCCGAATTTGCATTGAAAATTAGAGATAAGAAGCGTTTGTTGAAAAGATAGAGAGGAACAGTTTAGTTAACTCGATTTACTTTAATAAGTACTTAAAACTTACAGATTCGAACGTGTTTGACTAAGTTTGACCATATTCAATTTAAAGTTAGGCACGAGAACCCCCTTAGGATGACCAATTACGAGTTGGATTTCGAGTTTCGAGGTTGCTCGACCAATGTTTATTATTGTTGTTATAAATAATTATATTTGAGCATTATTATATAATAATTATTTTATTAAAATTATTTTTATTTATTATTATTATATATTGAATTTTCATGTTATTATTTTGTGATAATATTTTATAAATTCATATATCTATTTTATAATAATATAATTACTTACTTTTTACTCTATTTGCACCCCCCCTACTTTTTCATCCAAACAACAATTTACCCCTCCACTTACACCCTCCATCAAGTTGCACCCCTCAACAATTTACCCCTCAACTTGCACCCCCTCGAACTTGCACCCCCCTTGTTGCCAAACATAGTGGTAGTGAAATAACCCGAGGGAGTACCATTCATCAGAACCGAGAAAGAGGAGGAACGAAGACATTCATGTATCCACCCTTGCCAGACTGAACTAAAACCCATCTTATCCAAAACTGCAAGAAGAAATGGCCATTCGACTCTATCATAGGCCTTTTCCATGTCAACCTTCATAGCCATGTACCCCTTCTTTCCTTGCGTTTTTATTTTTAGATAATGCATTAGTTCATGTCCTATAAGGATATTATCAATAAATCTGCCGTTCCTTGATAAAACCATTTTGGCCTTCTGAAACGATCCGAGGAAGCATGCTAGCTAACCGTTCAGCCATAATTTTAGTAATCACCTTGTAAACAAACTGGCAGAGGCTAATCGAACGCAATTGTCTAATTGTTTCCACTGAATCAACTTTAGGGATCAAAGTGAGCCAGGTATGGTTAAAACTCCGCAGCATCCGACTCGAGGGAAAGAAGGAAATCACTGCTTCAACCACCGAAGTGCCCACAATATCCCAAAAAGCTTTAAAGAATTTCCCTGTAAAACCATCCGATCCCGGGGCCTGCTTTGATCCCATGGAGAAGACCGTACTCCGAACCTCACTAGGCAAAACCTCCACCGTCAAATGCATGTTCATTTGCGGAATTACACTATGAGCTATCGGCAAATTTGCCACCCTCTCAGTCATATTAGGGACCTGGTTTTCCGAAGTAAACAGGTTCTGGTAGAAATTGGTGGCAATAGTAGCCTTCCCGGTTTCGGCAGTGACCCATTCTCCCTCCTCATTTCGAAGCCCGGAAACAAAGTTCCTTTCCCGCCGCGCCCTGGTGACCGTATGGAAATAGGCCGAATTTTGATCTCCTTTTTTCAACCATTTAACCCTGGATTTCTGCTGCCAGAAAACCTCTTCCGCGTCCCACTGACGGGAAAGCTTCGCTTCCAGGGTCCTAATCTCATCCCAATCCACCGGATGGATCGACTTTAACCTATCAATCTCAGCTTGGAGCGTCTTGATATTGCGAAGGGAATTAGTTGTGCCCGCCCTGCTCCAGTCATAAAGCAGATGACGAAGTTTCTTTAGGCGCTCCCACAGTCGAAACATAGGGGTACCTTGGATTTCTTCCTGCCAGACATACTGGACCATCACTTCAGGATTATCCGCCCAGCGGGCATCAAAACGGAATAGGGGTCGACTACTTCGAGCATACTGTTTATCCGCGAGTAGCAGGGCCCGATGATCTGACCCCTGATCCGTAAAGTGCTTGACCAGAGTCTCTGGATAGGCATCAATCCAGGATTGGGAGCAAAGAGCCCTATCCAGACGTTCCCGAATACAAACCGCACCCATACGTTTGTTTGTCCAAGTGAATTGATCCCCTTGGAAACCCGGGTCACGGAGCCCCAAATTATGCACAAAATCCCGAAGGCTGATGGCTTGGGCACCATTCCAAACCCTACCCCCATCTTTTTCACCCGCGTGAAGAATCGTGTTGAAATCACCAATGAGCACGTAAGGGTGAATAATATTCGCACAAATTTATTGCAACTGAGCCAACTGAGCAGCTCGAAGAGCAACATTACAGCTAAGATAGACAAAGATCACCACATAAGAAAGATCTCCTTCATTAATTTGTGAACAAATACAAAAATTGGAATAAAAAAACACCGAAGCGTCAACCCCGGGAACTAGCAAAACCTAACCCCCTCATACGGCGGGACACTACACCCCGGCTCGATCGAGTCTCCGAAAAAAACACGAGATCCGGTTTATTGGAATGAACAAGCCCTACAGCAGTTTGGAAGGTGAGGGATGGCCCAATTCCTCACACATTCGAGGCCAGAAGCCTCATTTATCACCCTGGGGCCATTCTAGGCTAGCTTCCTCCACCTTATCCAAACCATCAGCAGTTTCCACAAATTGTTTCTTCGGAGTAGGGGGGTCACCAACATCCCCGTCCAGCGCATCTATCCCCCGCTTCCGATTCTCCATGATTGGGTCCATCAAATTAGTCCCATACTCATCCAAAGTCACACCCGACCCTTTAGGAGGAACATCCTCCTCCCGCTCGAAGACAAGTCCAGCCTCAAAAGCCTTCACTACTTGGTGGACACGCCCTTTCATGTTTTGGCAAGCCTTCGTGGAGACCCCACCTGGGGAACGTCGCTTGATTTCAAAGGCTCCAAGCAAGGGATCTCCATCAGAGTCAGAATCCTCCTGGTGATGCGCCTCAACAAGATCATCCAAAGGAACCGCAACCTCCTCATCCTCCAGCCCATGCATAGCACCAGGTGAGGTAGAGCCCACATCCTGCTTGGCTAAAGCCAGCAGGTTCGTCGCACCAACTTTCCTCAGACGTGGGCGAACCCGAATCTTGGAAGATTCCTTCAGCGATGGCGGACCTGACCCCTTAGTATCCGCCAGCTCCTCCTCTTCCGACTCCTCTTGCAAGATCAGTCGACGCCTCCGGGACTGCTCAAGAACCTCCACCATAGAATCCGCCTCCTGTTTACGTTGAGGAGCCTGCCTTGCTCGCCTAGCTGGCTGTTGGCGACCCTTGGCACCCTGTCGAGGAAGGGAAGCACCCTTTCTGGGGGACTGCTTTTCTGGGTCTGCCTCACAACACCACCAATCTTCACCCGCGGGGATGTCTTGAACACAAACCGCTGGGGACTAGCACGATTCCCAACCAATTTCTTAATTGGTTCACACAGCCTAGGCTGTGTCTTCTTGCTAGCTTGAGCTGTCAAATCATCGGCCACAGAGGGGGCCAGACCATGAGCCTGAGAGCGGTCAATATGCCCTGTTGGAAGGTCCTACATTCGACCCCGAGAATTCTTTTCACTCCCTCCATTGTACACTTGCACATTTCTGTTCACCCACAATTATTTACTGGTATTTCGATACTTCGTGAAGTCTTCCTCTTCCATGTATAGCTTCCTTCCCAGCTTCCTTGTTGACATGTGAGGGCCGAATCGTTCCTTGCCCGAGGGTGGGTCGAACACACAGTCACGATTTGAGTGTCCCACTCGACCACAATGGAAACAAATGGTCGGTAAAAATTCATACTTGAGATTTACCCAGAATTGACCAAGTTCGTTTTAATCCAACTGTATTTATTAATAATATTTAATTGATACAATCGACCAACAAAATACATCAACTGAACTCACCGATTACACGCCACTTAGAACGAGCACCACTCAACAATGTGCTAAAAACTCAACTCAACTGCAAGTTACACAGAAAGCTCTCTACTGTGAGGGATCAAGGATTTGGCCGCTGAACAGCACCGTACCAGTCTGGTGTTCTTGGATGATGAACATGAACGGATGATCAGCTACAAATTTCACAGGCTCAACATAACACAAGAGAACAATTTCGGCAATAGAAACCGCTGCAGCTTCTGTGCCTTCCTCATTCACTTCGATGGACGACTTGTGAAATATGCTCGACACCATCAACTTACTCTCAACAACAGCAGAGGACTCAACCATCTCTGTCAGCTCTGCTTCATTCGAGAAAGGCAGGACCAACCCCAGTTCCTTCAAGGTACTGGAAGCCTCGAATCCAAAGGAAAGCTTGAACCTTGGAAGCCTGAACTCGCCCACTTCTACCTTCCTCCTCGGAAGGTGCATACTCAAGAAACCAGGTTCAGTACCCGCCCTCTCGACCAGTGAAGCTAGTCCATCTCTGGAATCAGGAAGGAAGATGTGCATCGAGAGCCCTCTTTTGCTGCCGTCTTCACCACCTTGCTTGTAAGGAAGGGAAAGGATCTTGAAACCATCTGACCGGGAAACATATTGCTTGTTCCTGGTAGTCATGAAGGGGACTCTCACCGAGCTTCCACTCAGGAGGTGGAAATCATGGTCGTTGGTATGTAATGGATCGAATTTCTGATCCCAAGCTCCTTTGAAGTAGAGGGCATTCCCCAAAACGAGCCTCGTCATGCTGTTAACATCATCAGGGGGAAGGACTTCCTTGATAATTCCATTGGTATGTTTCTCAGCCCATTCATTCACTTCAGTAGCCACTTCAGCTGCCTTCATCACCAGATTTTCCCCCAAATTAGTAGTATGAACTATGAACATTCAAATGAATTAGTGAACTCAAAGTAAACCACTGGTTGATTCATCGATTCTACAAGTAAAGAAGCAAAATTCTAGAGCCGGGACACCTTGTTTTGGAAATCGACTTCATGAGAAGCAGCCTTGTAAACATTGCCCGCAACCTGTTTGAAAGATTGCCTCAGAGAAAGCGATCTGTCCACCCAAACCCCATTGACAAACGACAGCCTCGGACCGCCACCGACGCCGTCAGCCAAAAGGGAGACGAGCCCAGATGAGAGGGCGTTGAGATTATCCATCGACTTGGCCTTGAGGAAAGACAGCAGCTGGTCCTTAGTGGGGCCGTTTGACCCGGCGGCGATGAGGCTGAGGAGGGCGTGGATCGACGCCGGGGAAATCACGGCGTTGGAATCCTTGGCTTCCTTCAGCAGGAAGTGCTTTGAGAGGGACAAAGCGACGTCGGTTTGGTGCTCCATTTTTGCCGGAATATTGGGGGTAAACAACGGAATATAATTCGCCGGCGGGCAACTTTGTTTTCACCAGCGAACATTGCTCGCTGCTGTGCTGCAATTTATAAGGCGATTGATTCGTACATAGAGAAGTGTAAAGTGCCAAGAATTTGCAGGTGGAAATGTGGCAGCCAGAGAGCGTGTCGTGTACAATGTTCGATGGTGAGTCCTTTGTTAATATTATCTGCAGAATGGGTCGGAGTCAATAATCAAACTTGTTACGTGTTCATGATCAGCTGCGGATCCACGACATAAAAGAAAGTACTGGGCCGCATTTGAATAGAATATTAGATACTATAAATAAAAATATATAATAATATAGTTTTTATTACAATGCCAATTGTATAAGAAAATCTTTTAATTTAACAAATTCATCAATAATATAATCTCCATCCATACTGATAATATACTCTTTTTCAAAGAAAATAACTAAGTAATCAACGAGAAATTCATCGCTCATTTTGTTGCACAAATCAATGTTCATGTTCCATTGCTGAAAATATTCTCTCCATGGTAGTTGTTGAAACGACTAGGTCAACACTAGACAAATCAACCGACAAATCAATTTGTATTGTGTGTTCATCCCTCTTTCCTCCACCTTCTCTAATAATTTTGCAAGAGAAGAAACTTCATCTTCCTCACATGAGTAGTGCATTCTCCAAAGAATGCATCTCATAGCCTTCAAAGTCTCGAGACTAAACTCTTGAGCAAGTTTGTAAATATTTTCTTCATCAAAACACCAGAAAGAACGGTTAGAATCTAGTACCCCACTCAATTGAGGCAATCTAAATGATAACTCGGTAAGTTTGTAAATATTTTCTTAATCAAAAGAATGGAAAGAAAACCAGCTCGATGGGCTAGCGGAGAAATCCATTTTGGGTCTGCTCATCTCCTCGTTCTTGTTTTGTTTTTGGGGGGATTGAGAATTTTTTTGAATTTTGCAAGGAAGGATGTGCTTTAGTTTAGATTTTTTATTTTATTTTAATGAGACTTTACACTTTTAGGTTTTCATGTCTTTTTTCAAATAAAATCATTTGGGGTATAAAAATTTAGTATAAATTTAGAGTGATGGTTTGGATATGTTCATCTGAACCATATTCCTCGTTACACAAAATCCTATTATCAAATAAAACTAGACAGGATTTTAAATAGCACTGAGCTAAATACCTAAATCGAAAAAATTTATAAGCACTAAACTAACTCTGAATTCGGAGTAGGGTTAGGCCGGGGCCTGGGTTGGCCCAGCCCTGGATCCGCCACTGTTCATGATCCAACGAATCTGAATTTCAGAGAAATACTAATAAAGAAATTTATAACGTAAAGGAAATGTGAAAGCATCATTACTGTTGGCCTAGACACGAAGTGTCACCATTACACCGATGATCACCAATCAAACTATCTGTTCAGACTTGAGAACTATCATTTGTTTAAGTTAAAAAGTCGTTATTTCTTTGTTAGTAAGTAAGTCACTTCTTTTTAATGTTCTATGTAGATTTTGCTTCTAAATTTATTAATTATATCATTTAACGAATAAGTCAATAATCAAACTTATTACAGGTGAATGCCCATTTCATAATTAAGCTAATATGAATTTCAGAGAAATATTAACAAAATAAATAAAGATTTTTGTATAACGAGTAACAATTTGCGGAAGGAAATGTGAAACTATAATCTCTACTGGCATAGACAAGAAATGTGACCAAAGCCATGTCTGGCTGGAGCTCCATTCTCCGAATTCCTCGGTGGAACAAAACAGGACTCTGAAGGTGAACTTTCTTTTTTCCTTGTGAAGTTTCTCATCACTCTGCTGCTCTTATAGCCTGTAGTTAAATAAAGTAAACAAATTGCTAATGTGGCTGTAGAAGTGAGCTCCTTCTGTCCGTGTTTGACCCTCTATTGCGTAGTCTGCCATAGAAGGTCATCTCAATAATCAAAGCTGTTACGTGTAAACGTCTAAATCATATTGCACTCAAATAGCTACTACAACAAGGCTAATACAGACAGAGCACCAAAATTCACGCTCAACAGTGGTTGTTACAGCACTCAAAACGTAATTATGCGAGCAATCCTGACACAAAAGGAAACATTATTTAGTAAATGCATCACTAGTTAGGCTGTGATGGATATTCATACAAAACATGTCCACCACTTGTATTGGAAAGATTCTAAGAAGCCTGTGATGGATCGACAATGTGGCCGCTGAACAGCACCATTCCGGTCAGATCTTCTTTAATGAGGAACATGAATGGGTGATCAGCTACAAAGTCGATCTTCTCAGCTGGCAAACCTCTCAGTGCTATGACACCAACAGAAGCAGCTCCGGCTTCGGTGCCTTGTTCGTTCACTTCGATGAAAGATTTGTGAAATATGCTCGACACGCTCAGGTTGCTTCCAACGGCAGAGGATTCCACCATCTCAGTCAAGTCTGCTTCATTAGAGAAGGGCAGAACCAACCCTAATCCCTTCAGGGTGTTGGAAGCCTCGAATCCAAAGGAAATTTTGAACCTTGGAATCCTGAACTCGCCCACCTCTACCTTCTGCTGCGGGAGGTGGCTGTTCAAGAAACCAGACTCGGAGCCTGCTTTCTCGACCAATGCAGGCAAACCGTATTTGGCGTCGGGAAGGAAGAAGTACATTGAGAACCGTCTTTTGTCTTCACCTTGCTTGTAAGGAAGGGCCAAGACCTTGAAACCATCGAACTGGGAAACAAATTGCTTCTTCTTGCTGGTCATGAATGGGACTTTGATTGAGCTTCCACTCGAGAGGTGGAAATCATGGTCCTTGCTAGCCGATGCATCAAACTTCTCATTCCAAGCACCTTTGAAGTAGAGGGCATTGGCAAAAACGAGCTTAGTGGTGTTGTCAACTGCACCGGAAGGAAGAACTTCCTTGATAACTCCCTTGGTCTGTTTCTCAGCCCATGCATTTACTCCATTAGCTACTTCAGCAGCCTTCATATCCATTTTTAAGCATCAATATTAGCAGAAGGAACACATAAATAAATTCAGGAAAATCAGCGCAAAGAAACCACATACAAGGGAACCAAGACAAAAACCCACATAACCTAAAAACTCCACCTTTCCTTTTACTTCCCCTCTCAAGTACAGCTTCTTAACCATCAAACAAGCAAAATCACCATAACCCAATTCCTTACTCGAAGAATGATAAACAGGGTAGTAAAAAAGAAGCTATCAGTCGAATAAAGTTACCAAATCCAGAACAACAAAAGTTCAAGCAATCAACAAAAAAACGATTCCAATGTATGAATTACTCTTGACCTAGAAATCAAGGGAGTACCTTGGTTTGGAAATCAACTTGATCAGAAGCAGCCTTGTACACATTGTCCACAACCTGTTTGAAAGAAGGCCTGAGAGAGATCGACTTGTCCACCCAGACCCCATTAGCGAAAGACAAGCTCGGACCTCCAGCACCGCTTCCGTCGGCGAAAACCACGGAGACGAGCTCGGAAGAGAAGGCGTTGAGGTGTTCACCGGACTTGGTCTTCAGGTAAGAGAGCAACTGACCCTGAGTGGGCCCCTTGGAGCCGGCGGAGATGAGGCTCAGCACGACGTGGATCGACAGCGGGGAGAGCACGGTGTTGGAGTTCTTGGCTTCCGTCGTCAGCAGGACTTGCTTGGAGAGTGACAAAGCGACGTCGGTTTGACTGGCGATCAACTCGCGGAGATCCATACTGGAATTTCTGGCGGCGGAGGAGCGGGGGAAACGGACCAAACGGTAGAAATGATCGGCGGAGGATAACGAACGTTCTTCGGAAGTCAAGTCGGCAAGAAATGAAAGCCGGAAACCCCGTGGGAAGGTACGAAACGGCGCTGTTTGCATCGCGGGATCAGCCGTGTCGGCGGACGCGTGGCGGAAGAGGCATGAGTCATTTACTTGGGCAGTAAGCATTGTGGGGCGGTGGGCCCATTTAATTGATTTGGGCCTTTTATAGTAGATGATGGGGTTCTCGGCGTTGAGCCCATTTATTAAATCTTAAACATTGGTTTTCTGGAGCCCAAATAAATGAGGATCTCATGGTTGGTCATTGAGATTACAAAAAACGTTCAAGTTTGATCACTCGAAATATTTAAATCCATTGGTGGTACTTCAGTTTACTAAAACCGTTCACGTTTGGTCACTCTCCGTCCAACTCCGTTAACTTTTGCTTACGTGGTGGTCAACTCTAAAAGTTGACCGTTAAATGTGTGACGTGGCAATTTAAAAATAATAAAATTAATAAAATTAAAGTTTTCAAAATTGACATATCATTTCCACCTCATTATCACTTTCATTTAAAATAAATAAAAATCATAATTTCTTATGTTCATCTTTCTCGTCGATAAAACTCACCATTCTGGACGATGCCCGGCCATCATTGTTGATGATAGCGAACACATCCCAGTATACGGGAAGCTCTTATTCCCAACCCAGAGGCGAAGATTGATGTTGCTGGTTAGATTAACAATATCATGACATCCTTTCATTGTCGACGAGAAGAAGAACGAGACGGTGCTAACCAACGGCGATGGGCGACCATTTTAAAGGGCCCGGCGTTGGATTTTGAAATCCCAATCTGTGAACCCTAACCTTTGTGTCTCGAAATCTCTAATTTGCCAATCGTAATCGCGATTTTTCATCCCGGTGTCTACGTTTGCGTTTGGGTAATGGGAAAAAGTTGACCTTGCCGCTTACGACCTCCGAACCCGCCAGAAGCATTTTCTCTCCCTCCTCCCTGATGGCGGGCCGATCTCCCGAGCCTATCAATTCACCACCTTTCCCATCCTCCACGAAGAGTCGTGCATCGGCTCGAGCTTCACAGCAAGGGGTCCGGGGACCTATTTGTGGTCTTACACAACATTGGAAATCCATCGTTGAAAGGTGGAAAGGGTTGGGGAGGGTACACGACGGCGGGACGATGGAAGGGTTCTCGGGAGAGTTGGGGAAGACGAAAAGGTGGGGGAGATATTATTTTCCTTTTTTATCTTTTTTAATTTAATTAAAATAAAGGTAAGTTAATGGTTACAAAACCTGATAATAAAGGGGTTTTATTTATTTTAAATAAAATTGATAATGAGGTGGAAATGAGATGGCAATTTTAAAAAAATGTATTTTAAAATTTTTATTATTTTTAAATTGCCACGT